AATTGTCAGTACGTGTCCAGTGATATGCACCTAGTGAGAGTTGTATAAATGTATAAAATTTTAGTGAAAATTTAGCCTAAAAGGAGTTTTAATAATTTATAATAAATAATAAATGAAATATTTTTAATAATATCTTAGTTTGCACAATACAATATATATATATATATATATATATATATATATATATATATATATATATATATATATATATATATATATATATATATATATATATATATATATATATATATATATATATAGTATATATATAAACAACAATTTAGTGACTGATAGGTGAAATAATGATGAATAAATATAATAAATTTATTATGAGTTTGGGGACAACATCTTGGTGCTATAGAGTCCGTTTTCGTGCATGTGATGCTGTATAGTTGCTCCAACGTGTCAATCATGAAAACGAGGTTCTATACCCAAGATGACGACGTACTTTCTGGAAGGGTGTATTATCCAGATAGTTTAGGTATAAATATAATTCTAGATAATTATTGGAGATAGTTTAGGTAAACTTGTAGTAATTTTAGTAACACATGCACAATATATATACGTAGTTGTAAACTATTATTTTTCTCAATATATCAACATACGTCTGTGTCTCTGAGTGTGTCGACACCGGGCAAGCTGAAAAGTTTGCTTGATCGCAGTGCGAATCGAACCCGCAACCTTTGTTTTGCTATAGCCATACCAAACCATTGGAATGATGTTGTATACCAAACCATTGGAATGATGATGGAATATGTTGATGGTCTTACAATTTCCGAGTTTTTGTGAAAAAACTAAATAAATGAGCCCTCAACACTCCAATAAATGAGCCCTCAGCACCCAATCCGACCATATGACGCAATCCTGCTTTGGGCTGCACAAAATGAATATGATACGTGAGGAAATGATCATCAGCTTTCTTTAAAATCAACCGGACATACCTCGACTTTGTATCAAGATGGTCAACCCCTTGATCTAGTTTCTTTCTATAAAGTTTTGCGTCTAAATTTCAATAAAGACAATAATGAGCTTAAATGGGAGACAATGCAGTATAGAAATTATGGTGAAGAAGGCCTTCAAACGCCTACATATCCTACGCGTGTTAAAGGGTCATGATCAACCACAATGCAATGCATGCGTTTGTTTACGTTTCTGTTACGTTGTGGGCCAGAGGCAGCCATTTTTGTGGCTTCGAAAATGGCGGCTACTATTGAGGAAAGTAACTGAAAAACGTAAATAAAAGCGCGCATTGCATTGTGGTTGATCATGGCAAGACATTTTGGACATTTGCCTATTAAACCAGAGCTCGTTCCCAGTCCCCAGAAATTTCAGCGATAAATGGTTCATAAACAAAACTGTATATAAATCATGAACAAAACTGTATATTACTGTCGTTCCAATTGAAGTGTTGCTGAAATATTGATTCAATACATTACCTCGGGCTGACCAATTCATTTCATCAAGTTCCTCGAGATATTCATACACTTCCTAGTATAATTGTAAACTTCCTGTTGAATAGTTTGAATGCACCAATCACCTTTGTTGTTTGTGCAACTAACCAATCATAAATAGAAAGGAAGTGACCAGAAATGATCAAATACTTGGAATTGGCTCTTTCACAGGAAGTGTATGAATATCTCGAGGAACTTGATCAAATGAATTGGTCAGCCCGAGGTAATGTATTGAATCAATATTTCAGCAACACTTCAATTGGAACGACAGTAAAA